TTAGTTATGGATTAAAGAGTAACGTAGATTGCGTTGTCTAGCCGTGGTTGCTAACCCGTGTAGGATGAGTAAAACTCTTAGTGAAGTGTATAATATACATTTATTGAAAGGATTAAGGAGTTTCCAATTAACTGTGGCGTGGGATGTAAACATTATGAACTCGACTGAGGTATAAAAAGAAATGATTTTTTTTTATTCCTGAGATGATCTGTTTATTTAAAAAGTGGACTAAGCTAAATAATCAAATAAGAATGAGTCTGGACGCTTTATCAGTCTCGTGATTTACAAAGCTTAGATTTGACACAAGGCCGTAAATATGGAGCACCTAGTAAGTATTGAATTCCCTACTCAGTAGTAATTGATATGGAGAGACAAGTTTGTTAACAATTGTTGGCATATTTTGGAAGGATATTAGAATAATCAAGATATGCAGATGACACGGAATTGGTACGGAAAGGAAACTAAAGAAATTCTACAGAAGGTAGTCAAAGAATTCTAGAAGAAATGCATGAACATCAATTGGAAGAAGACGGAATTCATAGCTGTTATCAAAAGAGACAGCCCAACATGCAAATTACATATTAGAGATACCAAAATCAAACTAGTACAATAATCTAAATATCCAGGAAGTGTTTCAACAGAAGACGGAAAGTGCGAAAGTGAAATCGGAAGATAACGATTGGAATAACCAAAGATGAATTCCAAAAGCTAAGCAGAGTATTAAGAAAGAGAAAAAAAAATTCGTTAGAAACAAAGAAAAGCGTACTGAACTGTTACGTAATACCAGTCTGGCTATAGGTAGGACAATATTTTCACAGATAAAGAAGTGAATTAATACAACAGAAATGTCACTATTTTCATTGCTCGGATTCTCATCCTCATCTTTGATGCCATATTTATCACAAAGTTTCGGCCTTTGGACGCTCCGGCCTTCTTCAGGTAGTTGGTTTTCTTTTCCAACCACTTGAAGTAGGCCGGAGCGTACAACGGCCGAAACGTTGTGATAAATATGGCAACAAAGATGAGGATGATTGTCCGAGCAATGTAAATAGTATACATAATACCTCATCTAAGAAATATAGACACATACAACAGAAATGTCGTTTTACAGTAAAATGCTGTGAATACAGTGGACCGAAAATGTGAGCCACAACGAAGATTTAAAGAAAATGAAAGCAAAAAGGAAAGTTATATTTAACATCAGGAAGAGACAGCTGACATTTCTAGGGTACTTAACGAGGAAAAAGGGCTTGGAAAATTTTGATACTCACAGTATAGATTAAAAAGAAGAAGGATTTGAGGAAAAGAATGCATAGCATACTTAGCGAGCTTGAGTAAATGGATTGTGGAACACGATTTAGGAGAGATAACAAAAAGAGAAAATATATTAAGAGCTACAAAGGACAGAAAATTGTGGAGAGCCATGATCGACTGCGTCCTGAAGGGACACGACACATAGAAAAAAGAAGAATATGTGACAGCACACATGGAATCTCTTGCGAAGCGGTTCCTTTAAAAACAGTGAATTGACTTCCGACATAATGAGTCATTCGTTAAAGTTACTCAGTTATGTCGACAAGTATACATTTTGCATAAGATGCCGATGAATCCAAGTATTTCGAAATCTCTAAATATTGACTAATTTATGTTGGGGTCTGTAATTTTTCTAATATTGTCCCCCAAAATTAATTATGTTTTAACCAGGACACTACACTTACATGGAATGGTTTTAACCAGGACACTACACATACATGTATCTTTTGGGAGAAGATATCTTTAAAAACATGTTGAATTTTGAGTTAAAGGAAGTCATTTGTAAATGTCATAATATTTAAGTAAACAATAATTTTTCTAATAAGATAATAATTAACAAAGAGAGAATTCCATTTAATAATAATAAAGCCAATAATCAAATTAATCCCCATTTAGTTCTTACTAAAAAATCTATCACTCATGTACGCCTACAAATAACTTTTAAAATACATAGAGCACCTCGAGGCGGTGTAGTAGTTAGCAAGCTTGTCTCACTAGAATAATTACAGCTGTGTAGTGAGTTCGATCCTCCTTGGGCCCCTCCTGTTTTCGGCCTTGTGCCACATCTGAACTACGCTTGGAATATCACTATGCATAAAATACATAGAATAGATTTAGCATAAAATACCGATCAGTCCAAGTATTAATACTAATTTATATTGGAATATTTTCAGATAAAAAATTATTATTATTAAATGTATTTTCATTCGTACTAGCATACTATTCACATAGTTTCTTTCTGTGAAAGAAAACAAACGATAGTAAAGTTGAAAATAAGCGCCTCTATTCGGGAAGCTTTTGACCGAAATGTTTAGATGCTGTCGGTTGAAATTTATAAAATCTTCTTTCTTAAAACCGTTTTTTGCAAATTAGGCTTCTCAAGTTTACTAAATGTTATCATTCTTGCTTGTAATGATGGGAGTTTCCTTTCAAACCTTTTGCTTTTGTTTTAGTAGTGCGGAAAGCTAAAATCTTGATTATAACACATTTTTCTTTTCTTGTTATATGTATCATTGCAAGCTAATCTGAATTCAATTTTCGTATCCCCTATACTATATTTGCTACAACTGATCTAGGAAATGATGAATTTGAAGTGTTTCGGATTTATAAATTCCAAATTCTGAATTTTTAATCAGGATAAGTGCCATCTATATTCTCATTCTAAATCCTGATCATAGTTTCTGTCTTGTAGAAGACAAGCAATAAAAAGAAAACACATGTTGGAAAAGCCTTATGAGTTTTAAATTAAATGACTCATCTCTCTTCACTGATACAGAAAGCAGGAATGACAACTATTTCATCCCGTGGACAGAATAAAATCTTCAAAATTTGACATTTGGTATGGATGTTCTTTCATATTACAAGCTACCCTTATCCAAAATATTCCTCTCTGGGTTTGATTTGTGGTTCAAACATCTGCATATTTCCCAGCTGTGATAATGATCTGTATCTGAATCTAATTAAAAGCAAGGATTTTGACAAATGATTTCCAAGATGGCCAAGATACCCTCATTACGAAGAGCAATGAAACGCAAAATTTCTAGAATACAAATAGTACACGTGCATTTATTAGTGTGCACTGAAATATATTCCACACGAGCAGGGTGGCGGTGGAACTGTTAGTGTCTCGGAAAGAAAAGTCGGCGAACCTGGTTCGTTTTATTCACTATTGCACAAATAAACTTGAAAAGGTATATCTCCACATTGTCTCTTCTCAGAGACAGGGCTTGAGTCGCAAAGTAGATTAGGTTCTCTTGTAACCAGTCTAGCTGAAGGATAGCTCTGAATTCAAAACTATATAATCCTGTCAAAGAGTGCACAAACGATGGACAATTTTCTTTTAATCTCGATGTTTTTTTCTTATGAGTGACAATTATATTAAACTTCAAAATTTGGAGAAGATTATGGCGTACAAAGATTAATATCTGGAGAAGGCCAGAGAGTACAACGGCCGAAATGTTGGGAGTATAATTGATTTTTATTCACTATTGCACATATAAACTTGGGAAGGTATATCTCCTCATCGTCTCTTCTCAAAGACAGGGCTTAAATCGCACAGCAAACAAGGTTCTGTCGAAACCAGTCTAGCTGAAGAATAGCTTTGAATTCAAGACTGTATATAATCCTGGCAAAATGTGCACATTTTCTTTTAATCTCGATGTTTTTTTAATGAGTGACAATAGTCGTAGACTTTAAAATTTGGAGAAGATTATAGTGTACAAAGATAGACATCTGGAGAAGGCCGGAGAGAACAATGGCCAAAATGTTGAGAGTATAATCGATTTTTATTCACTATTGCACATATAAACTTAGAAGGTATATCTCCATATTATCTCTTCTCAGAGACAGGGCTTAAATCGCAAAATAGACTAGGTTCTCTGGTAATCAGTCTAGCTGAAGAATAGCTTTGAATTCAAGACTCTATACAGCAAAGAGGGCACAAACGATTCTTTTAATCTCGATGTTTTTTATGAGTGAAAATTGTCGTAGCCTTTAAAATTTGGAGAAGATTATAGCGTACAAAGATAGACATCTGGAGAAGACCGGAGAGTACAATGGCCGAAATGTTGGAAGTATAACAACCAAGATATGCATATTAGTCCGAATAGAAAATGTATAAATACTTATTAATTTAAAATGTTTTTATCATCATCCAAATGAGCCAGTACAATTAGTAAAATTGGTTGACAATGTTCCATACAAAAGAAAATTTAAGATAAATATTCAAGATCAACATTCTCAATAGATGTTTGGCAACATAAGTCTTTGCCAGACTCAGTTAAGTTTAATGAATACATGTCTCGTTATTTTCCATTTCCAACTCTGCATATGATTTTGATTGGTTGGCGTTGAATATATACAATCGGCTGCACGAATCTTTTCAGATGCAGATGGCGTGATACAGCGAAAGTTTATTGATTGGCCACTGGATCTCATATTTTATGACAACGGACCTTCAATGATTTGATACTCCCAAAGCAGGTAAGATGAAGCACGGCCTTCGGTTGCTTTACGAGCCTCGATGGGCGGTCAACATATGGGACATGGCGGTATCATGGAAGAGAAAACATACAACGAAAGAAAGAATTACGTCCACCCACCACTTAGAGAGAGTAAGAGTTCAAGTAGTGCGAGTGAATGAGATATGAAAAGTAAGGATGATAGAAAGGAAGTAAAATAGATAGAGAGAAAGCTAGCAGGAAAGACTGATAGAAAGTAAGTGTAATAGGAAGTGGAGTGTCAGAGTAAAAGGAGTAGTAATAGTACTAGTTGTGTGTGTGGGGGGGGGGAGAAACAGTGTAAGAGACAAAAGGAGGGCGAGTGATATATAGGGTTTGATATAAATAGATAGTTTGAGAGAGATAAAGAGGGTAAATGAGAGGAAAAAACGAGTGAAGGAGACAGAAAAAGGGAAAGAAATGTGAGGAAGATAGAAGTAAAAAAAAAGATTAAGGTATCTAAATAGTTTAGATAGAAGAGAGAGAGAGAGAGAGAGAGAGAGAGAGAGAGAGAGAGAGGAGTAGGGAAAGAGTGACAGTGATGAATTTAGAGAGAGAAGACAGAGAAGGTTGATACAAGAAAGGAAGAAGTTGAAAACTATTTAATGGATACACACACACACACACACACACACACACACACACACACTATATATATATATATATATATATATATATATATATAGAGAGAGAGAGAGAGAGAGAGAAAAAGAGAGAAGGAAAGAGGAGCGAGAGCGAGCGAGAGAGAGAGAGAGAGAGAGAGAGAGAGAGAGAGAGAGAGAGAGAGATAATGAATCATAGGGAGAGGAGGTAACAATCGAAATTAAACCCAAGCAGAATGAGGAGGAGTACTATCAGTAAGGTAAAAAGACAGAAAAAGAGAAAAAAATCGAAAAAAACCCTATATAGAGAGTGAATAGGAATGAAATTAGTGAGGGGGGAGAAAATGTAGGAATGTAGAGAGAGAGAGAGAGAGAGAGAGAGAGGGGGGGTAATAATAATAATTCAACTCGAGTCGAATAAGGTGATGGAACTGTATCCAGTTTGTATAGAAAGAAAGAACTTATGCGTGAGTCTTTGTGTGTTTTAGAGAGAGAGAGAGAGAGAGAGAGAGAGAGAGAGAGAGAGAGAGAGAGAGAGAGAGAGAGGAGTGTGTGAGAGAGAGAGGAGAGAGAGTGAGACGGAGGTGGAGTAAAATAATGAGAGGGAGGAGAGTGAAGAAATTGAAATGAGAAAGAAAGAAGAGCGAAAGTCATGTAAAGGAAAAAAGAAAGAAAAAAAGAAAGAAAGAAGAGTAAAGTAATAATAACAGAAAGTGAGAGAAACACCAAAAATTGTCTTTTAATATGTCTTCATATTGGACACGGTGGAAATCTTTTAGGTACATGCCTTCAAGGATACATTACAAAAGGAATTAAGTGACCAATGACTGGAATCGAAACCGTGAAATAGAATTCATTTGAAACACGAACGAGTAACATCTAAAGTATTCAGTTGTCCGGAATATTAATGCCGTTTTTGAGTCGTTCATATTCCATCGCGTTGGAACACGTCAAATTTATCTACAGATATAAACTGCTTACATTTCCGATTAGAGCACAATTCAAACTATCGCTTTAGAAAGTAAGTTTTAAATTACCTAATTCGTGTTAATCTTGCATCCCTATGAAAATGGAAGATGATTAAATGCATTTTAGACACGTGATGGTTTTTTATTACCATAAAGGCAAAAATGCCGCGTACAGTGGACGGTGAAGTTGATTTTGCTGATAGAACTGTACGGAAGGGATTTTCCCTAAATTTAGAGTTGGTGACTGTAGCCTTATTGATAAAGAAAGCTCAGGCAGATCCCATCCTACTACAGATGACGACAAAATCAAGATATTGATTAAGAATAATTCACATTACACAACACAGGAATTGGTATAAACACTAAATTTATCAAAATGCACTAAACATGATGATTTACTGAAGCTTTGATATTCAAATCGCTACGATGATTGGGTACTACGTGATCTGAGTGACAAAATCTTTGATCGCATTTTATCTCTGATCTGCTGTATAAACGCAATGAAAGTGCACCCTTTTTGAAGAAAATTGTGATGGGTGATGAGAAATGGATCGTTTACAACAATGTTCAGCGGAAAAAGTCCTGGAGTAAACAACATGAGCCAACTTTACCCACTACAAAAGCAGGTCTTCATTCTAAGAAAATCACGCTGTGCATCTAGTGGAATTGGAAAGGGATCCAGTTAATGGATTATGAAAACTGGATGAATTAAAGGTAGCAATTCAAAGAAAACGCCCAGAATTGGCGAACAGGAAAGGTGTTGTTTCCCATCAGGATAGTGCCAGACCTTACGTTTCTGTGACGACTCGGCAAAAATTGTTGCAGCTTGGCTGGGATGTGTTACCCCACGGGCCAAATTCACCAGCCATTGCTCTTTCGGATTTTCTTTTATTCAATCCTTTGCAAAACAATCTCAATGGTAAATATTTTAATTCTTTGGATGACATTAAAAAAACAAAACAAAACACCTTAATGTATTCTTTGCCGAGAAACCACCAGGAAGATGAAATCTTTAAGTTGAACGAAAAATGGAGAAAGGTTGTGCAACAAAATGGTTCATATTTGAATGGCATGATTTTGTTTCGTGTTTTAATTTGCACTAATTACATGATTCGGACTATTGTCCTCATCTCTGTTGCCATATTTATCACAAGGTTTCGGCCGTTGTACGCTCCGGCCTTCTTCAGGTGGTTCTAATGTCGAACTGAATCATCCTTTATTTCGCTTGCTAGGTAGACTGTTCTAGTTCCAGGTGCCATGTCTAATGGATGTCAGTTATCAGTTATCTCCTGTTAATTCCCCTCTCCAAATTCTCTACTGTGCTAACCAGGTATTAACCATCACAAATCTTTGGGTCTTGTTACTGGGTCTAACCATCTCCTTTATCCATTGTGCCATGTGTCCATAAGGAGATCGGAATATGAATTTCTGGGACTTAATAATTAATGTCTTCAGCAACCATTTTTACCAGTGATCACATTGCAATTTTTGCTGTTACAATTGCATATTTTTTACCAAAGCTCATATTGCAATTTTCGTTTTTATTATTGCTTTTCTCTGGCACTCCTTATTACTGGTTCCCATATTGTATTCATTTCTATGCTTGGTTGGCTCAGGAGATTTTTGTGGGCTAGCATATGTACTGATTCCTTAAGTTTAAAAATTTTCCAATGATGCCCTTTGCCTATGATCTCAACATGATCCCACAGAGGGCAGTGATCTCTCTTCTCTCTCTATATGTGGTCAGCCACGCCTGATTTTTCAACTTCCTCTTGTCTTACCGCTTGCTGGTGATCTTGAAGCATTACCTTAAGCGGGCGGTCTGTCTCCCCTTTATATTTCCTTCCGCGGCTGCACGGGATAGCGTACACACAGTCTTTAGTCATGTTCTCCTCTATGGGGGGGTCTTACACGGGAGAGATATGTTCGAAGTGTCGTCCAGCTTTTGAAGGTTGCCCTGATGTTATATGAACTGCAGATCCTTTGTATTTTCTCTGATATCCCCTTCACATAAGGCGGGCAGACTGCTTTCTGAGTGTTGTTGTCCTCCTCCTCTTGTACCTGCCTATCCCAGTTTTTTTGGACTGCTGACATGATGTTTTTGTTATGATTTCGACCTGATCCCACCATATTTAACTAAGCTGGCATTTGGAATTACATTGGTATCAATCTTTTGGCTAAATTAGTACAAAGAATTCTTATTAGGTTTAGAGCTTTTTCTTCTCACCGCACATATTAATCATGGCTTGAATCGTACACTTTTGGTTAAACTTTCTTCTCGTTTTCTTTTAATACCTTCGGCAGGAGTGTCTGTAATTTACTTTCCGTCTCTGCTATCAACACTGTGTCATCTGCATATCTCTAAGATTGTGACCGTCAATAAAGAATCCTGGCAGGACTTTTAATACACTGAGAATCGCATCGCTGAAAGGATGAACACTAAGTGGGTTACGCTCCTTTATAATCAGATTAAAATAAGAGACACGTGAAAATGATGGAACATCCCCAAGTTTAGGAAAGGAGAGTTAAAATGAATTAAAATAATGGAGTGTTCATTTCTAAGGTTACGCTAAAATCTTTTCTCAACAAAGAAAAAAAGGTTAAGTCATATCCTAAAAAGGATTAAACAAAAGAAATTTGGCTAAGTATATATAGGCTTAGAATTAAATGACGCGGAAAGCAACGGGTCACATTTGTTAAGTAGCATAGAACTTGATTTAAATGGGTGACCTTTTAGATACATCATTGTGTACTGTAATTGACTTGTGACCTTGTGCCAGACTAAGTAAAGTGTAGTGAATAAATAACAAAAATTTCACTCCTGTCGCTTCTAATGTGTAGATTACTATTTGCTCGGTTTTTAGCAAAAACTAATAATGAACTATTCGAACTTCTAGGTAATAGGCATCCGTTTATCTCGCGGATGAAGGTAGCCCCCTTTTTGTTCAAAATTCGGTCCTTTGTCGGTGAGACTGGAGTGACCGCTCCAGGACGCAGGACTGGGTGATAGTATATGGAGGTTGTGCCCTCCTCTTCTCTCGGCCGTATCGATAAGATTAAAAGGAATACAGGACATTAAATCTGGGGTCGTGTTCGGTCCAGGAGTTGCCGGAAAGTTGTCAATATTGAATGCCCACCGCCTTCGGGCTTCACTTCAGGTTTTCTGTCTTTTTCGTATCTGGATATGACTGCAAGATTGCAGAGGTTTAAAATAAGGGTTTTCCTTCCCCTATACGGATTGTCATCCTGGGCTGTCGTGAAGCAGTTGGTTATGAAGTATCAGTTGTTTGTCGTCGCCTATTCTTTGGCTGGACTTAGAATTTATTTGAGACGTTTGCCACGGAAGAATTTTATAGACAGCGGTAACTCATCCCCACTATCACACTGGCTAAGACAATTTTTGCAACATAATGTACGTACAAAAAAAAGAACATTAAGAGATTTTACTTACATTATTTACATTATTCGGACTCTTATCCTCATCTTCATTGCCGTATTCGCAACGTCTCTGCCATTGCAAGCTCCCACCTTCTTCAGGTGTTTGGAATTTCGAACCGAACCGTTTATTTCGTCCACCGGGGTAAATTGTTCTAGTTCCACGTGCCATGCCTCTTCCGGATGTCTCATTTATTCCCCTTTAACTCAACAGTTTTGGTTCACCACTGCTGTAGTCTGGATTTGAACTCACAATATTTGGGTTTATTCACTGACTTTAACCAACGCCTTTATTTCTAATGAATAAAGAGATTTTAAAATATATAAACGTTATGGAATTAAAAAAAATAGAAAGCAAGACAAATTATGAAATAGTACACAAGTAAATAAACACATATCGAAAAGTTTGTCAGTTTTAGAAATAAGGACTTGCTGATTAAGTTCAGGCACCCAACTCTTCATTCATATTCATTTTACTAGAAAGAAGATTTTAAGGATAATATGTTTTATACCATTAATGAATATTCCGTGCCCTGTTGATGTTCCTACAACAGCAAATGGTAGAGTTTATCATTTGTCCAAGATGGATAAATTATCTTTGCAAAAAATTATATCTAAAAGAATTTAGTCCATATACACAACAAAATTTAGTGCATAGTGGAGTTTAAAATGTAATCTTTTAAAGACTATTTGTATATTCATCTTTATTATGATTTTCTTCTGAATGAAACAAAATTCAAATATTTATGTTTCATGAAAATAATTTTGAAAAATTATTTAAAAAATAAAACAGAAAATAATTGAAATATAAATAGGAATTAAAACTAAAATACTAAAATTATAAAATCAGTATTTAACATCGAATAAAATCCTTTGTACTACATTTGTTGACAGTGCTAACACCTAAATTATCAATTGTTAAAAAAATGAATAAGTGTATAAAGTGAAAAATTGATAAATATAAGTTTTTGTAAGTAAAACAAAGTAAAAATACGACAAAAGATCTTCAGGTTAATTGTACAAAAACAAATAAAAACTAATACAATAACCGTGAAAAAAAAGTTTAAATAAATAATAATTAACAATGCATATATAACATCAATTAAATATAATAGTAATAATATATACAGGATGTCCATAAAGTTCGTGTGCACTTTAAAAAAATTATAACTTTATTTGTATTTGTGATAGAAATAATCTGTAAAAAAAATGTTATAATACAATGTTTCAACAAGATGGAGTTCCTTGTCA